AATCGTCATATCGACTGACACAAGGTTTGTGAGAGCAGATGTCTTTCGGAAACTCGATTGGTCTTTGCTGATCAATCGCAATACGATTTATTAGGTACGGCTAAAAGCTGTCAATTACGACATAATTTTGACAAAAAAGTGTGGAAAAGGAAGACATAAGACAGAAATAGAAATCCCCTCTCGATATCACCGGGAAGTTGCGCTACAGTTGAGCCTCGGATGACGAACAGCCCCATCTATGAGCATTTCAGGTGTCGAGGAAGCCAAAAGCACAGAAAATTGTTTCGACTGACGGGCTTCCATTCAGTTAACGAGTTGTCAGTCTGTGTATGTGTGAGTGCTTGTGGCCGCTGTTGAGTCTTGTTGCCAGGGTGTAGGTCCTCGGTCGCCTGTAGCCAATCAGTGAACCGATACGGTTTGATTGGCTACGTTTCGCAAGATGAACGTTTCACATTAAGAATTCGGTGCCGGAACGGATTAAACTCGTTAACCGTGGTTAGAGTTAGGCTAAAGTAAGGTTTTCTTTAAGTTAATGTCGGGACTAAGACTCTGTGATAATTGCACATCCTGGAATTTTGCGCGAGGTCGAAAATGGATTCCTATTTCCCTGTCTTACAAATAAATGCTTTCTTTGGCCCTCAAAACGACCACCAAGGAGGCATACGCATAGCGATTAATAATTAATTTGAGTATGTACGAAAGGTCCTGGTATCTGTAAGTTACCAACCCGCAATCTTGCTCCGATTCACCAGAAATCTACCTAACATTTCGCAAGTTTGCAAAAAATCAGAATTTCGGGTTAAGAATTATAGAGCATATTATGCTCACCGGAATGAGTTTGTTTGTTTGCTGACGTTTCGGACAGATGGACCGCCCTTCCTTCTTCAAAGTATAAACTGAATTTATCGATTTAAATTTGTGGCTGTAGCTGTTGGCCATGGGCTGATCAATTTTTCTCCGTTGGCTGCTTGGCCCAACGTGGGGACGAAACACAACAATGAATGCCATCAAGTTATACCAAAATTCACGTGGAGGGCCGAGCAGCGAACGGAGAAAAATCGATCAGCCCATGACGAACAGCTACGGCCACAACATTAAATCGATAAAGTCAGTCTGTGTTTTGATAAAGGACAGCCGGCCCATCTGTCTGAAACGTCAACGAACAAACAAACTCATTCGGGTGAGCACAATATGATCTTTAACTACCTAACATTTCCGTGCTGAGACACGCAACCAAGGAAAAATGAATTCCAAAGTTTTAGAAAATGATGAATGTGCAGACAGTCAACTCACCAATCACAGCAATAAGGCTGGACAGACAGAGGATTAAAAGACTCTTTGACTTCAGCAGGGAGCAGTCAAGCATTGTGGTGATGACATCCCAGATGGACTTTGGCATGAATTTGCAAGTACGCTTCAACACCAACTGTGCCCTGGCCGGCAGATGCGGTACCTTCTTGTGTCGACGTTCCTGCAACGCCACTTTTCCGTTCGCATCCTTGGCAGCCTCCTCCTCCTCCTCTTCGTCGCTTGAGTAATAGTAGTGCGTACGCCAACAGCAC